CGGGGACGGCACAGTGCTGGGGAGGAGCCCCACCATACTATTCCAGATACGGGGACGGCACAGTGCTGGGGAGGAGCCCCACCATACTATTCTGGATAAGGGGACGGCGCTGTGCTGGGGAGGAGCCCCACCATACTATTCCAGATACGGGGACGGCACAGTGCTGGGGAGGAGCCCCAACTTACTATTCCAGATACGGGGACGGCGCTGTGCTGGGGAGGAGCCCCAACTTACTATTCCAGATACGGGGACGGCACTGTCCTGGGGAGGAGCCCCAACATACTATTCCAGATACGGGGACGGCACTGTGCTGGGGAGGAGCCCCACCATACTATTCCGGATACGGGGACGGCACTGTCCTGGGGAGGAGCCCCACCATACTATTCCAGATATGGGGACGGCGCTGTGCTGGGGAGGAGCCCCACCATACTATTCCGGATACGGGGACGGCACAGTGCTGGGGAGGAGCCCCACCATACTATTCCAGATACGGGGACGGCACAGTGCTGGGGAGGAGCCCCACCATACTTTCCAGATACGGGGACGGCACTGTGCTGGGGAGGAGCCCCACCATACTATTCCAGATACGGGGACGGCACTGTGCTGGGGAGGAGCCCCAACTTACTATTCCAGATACGGGGACGGCACTGTGCTGGGGAGGAGCCCCAACATACTATTCCAGATACAGGGACGGCACAGTGCTGGGGAGGAGCCCCACCATACTATTCCAGATACGGGGACGGCACAGTGCTGGGGAGGAGCCCCACCTTACTATTCCAGATACGGGGACGGCACAGTGCTGGGGAGGAGCCCCACCATACTATTCCAGATACGGGGACGGCACAGTGCTGGGGAGGAGCCCCACCATACTATTCCAGATACGGGGACGGCACAGTGCTGGGGAGGAGCCCCAACTTACTATTCCAGATACGGGGACGGCACTGTGCTGGGGAGGAGCCCCAACATACTATTCCGGATACGGGGACGGCGCTGTGCTGGGGAGGAGCCCCCATACTATTCCAGATACGGGGATGGCACTGTGCTGGGGAGGAGCCCCACCATACTATTCCAGATACGGGGACGGCACTGTGCTGGGGAGGAGCCCCACATACTATTCCAGATACGGGGACGGCACTGTGCTGGGGAGGAGCCCCACCATACTATTCCAGATACGGGGACGGCACTGTGCTGGGGAGGAGCCCCACCATACTATTCCGGATACGGGGACGGCACTGTGCTGGGGAGGAGCCCCACCATACTATTCCAGATACGGGGACGGCACAGTGCGGGGGAGGAGCCCCAACATACTATTCCGGATACGGGGGACGGCACAGTGCTGGGGAGGAGCCCCACATACTATTCCAGATACGGGGACGGCACTGTGCTGGGGAGGAGCCCCAACATACTATTCCAGATACGGGGACGGCACAGTGCTGGGGAGGAGCCCCACCATACTATTCCGGATACGGGGACGGCACAGTGCTGGGGAGGAGCCCCAACATACTATTCCGGATACGGGGACGGCACCGTGCTGGGGAGGAGCCCCACCTTACTATTCCAGATACGGGGACGGCGCTGTGCTGGGGAGGAGCCCCAACATACTATTCCAGATACGGGGACGGCACAGTGCTGGGGAGGAGCCCCACCATACTATTCCAGATACGGGGACGGCACTGTGCGGGGGAGGAGCCCCACCATACTATTCCGGATACGGGGGGCGGCACAGTGCTGGGGAGGAGCCCCAACTTACTATTCCGGATACGGGGACGGCACCGTGCTGGGGAGGAGCCCCACCATACTATTCCGGATACGGGGACGGCACTGTGCTGGGGAGGAGCCCCAACATACTATTCCGGATACGGGGACGGCACTGTGCGGGGGAGGAGCCCCACCATACTATTCCGGATACGGGGACGGCACAGTGCTGGGGAGGAGCCCCACCATACTATTCCGGATACGGGGACGGCACTGTGCTGGGGAGGAGCCCCACCATACTATTCCGGATACGGGGACGGCACTGTGCGGGGGAGGAGCCCCACCATACTATTCCGGAGATACGGGGACGGCACTGTGCGGGGGAGGAGCCCCACCATACTATTCCGGATACGGGGATGGCACTGTGTGGGGGAGGAGCCCCACCATACTATTCCGGATACGGGGACGGCACTGTGCGGGGGAGGAGCCCCACCTTACTATTCCGGATACGGGGATGGCACTGTGCGGGGGAGGAGCCCCACCTTACTATTCCGGATACGGGGATGGCCTTCCCCCCTCAGTCTCTTCTGTACAGAACAGAGAACATGGCTGGCAGGACCCGTATATAGGATGTATATAGAGCGTACAGATCCCACCAATCACAGGGACAGGGTGGTCACCAGAGACAAAGGGCGTGGTCTGAATAGGACACTCCCCCACATAGTGATCTCTCTGTGTGACCCCGCTCATATATGTACACTTCCGGTGTCACCTCATAGAGCTGGCTATGCGGAGGGCGGGGCACCTTTCCCCCTCCAATCACCGCAATAAGTAGGTACCGGAAGAAGATCGGCGCTCGCTTTGATTGGACTGTCCGGCATTCCATCTAAAAACTCCGCCGAGAAGGCGGCACTGGGGAGGAGCCCCACCATACTATTCCAGATACGGGGACGGCACTGTGCTGGGGAGGAGCCCCAACTTACTATTCCGGATACGGGGACGGCACTGTGCTGGGGAGGAGCCCCAACATACTATTCCAGATACAGGGACGGCACAGTGCTGGGGAGGAGCCCCACCATACTATTCCAGATACGGGGACGGCACAGTGCTGGGGAGGAGCCCCACCTTACTATTCCAGATACGGGGACGGCACAGTGCTGGGGAGGAGCCCCACCATACTATTCCAGATACGGGGACGGCACAGTGCTGCGGAGGAGCCCCAACTTACTATTCCGGATACGGGGACGACACTGTGCGGGGGAGGAGCCCCCACCATACTCTATTCCAGATACGGGGACGGCACTGTGCCTGGGGAGGAGCCCCAACATACTATTCCAGATACGGGGACGGCCACTGTCCGGGGGGAGCCCCCAACTATTACTATTCCAGATACGGGGACGGCACAGTGCTGGGGAGGAGCCCCACCATACTATTCCGGATACGGGGACGGCGCTGTGCGGGGGAGGAGCCCCACCATACTATTTCCAGATACGGGGATGCGCTGTGCAGGGGAGGAACCCCACCATACTATTCCGGATACGGGGACGGCACAGTGCGGGGGAGGAGCCCCACCATACTATTCCGGATACGGGGACGGCACATCTAGTGCGGGGGAGGAGCCCCACATACTATTCCGGATACGGGGGCGGCGCTGTGTGCTGGGGAGGAGCCCCACCTTACTATTCCGGATACGGGGGACGGCGCTGTGCTGGGTGAGGAGCCCCCCCAACATACTATTCCAGTGATACGGGAGGCGGCACAGTGCTGGGGAGGAGCCCCACCATACTATTACGGGGTGGATACGGGGACGGCAAAGTGCGGGGGAGACATATTTGCCCACAACATACTATTCCGATACGGGGACGGCACCGTGCGGGGGGGGAGCCCCACCTTACTATTCCCAGATACGGGGACACTAAAGGGCACCGTGCGGGGGGAGTGAGCCCTAACATACTATTTCCCGATACGGGGACGGCTGCAGAGTGCGGGGGGAGGAGCCCCCAAATTATACTATTCCGGACTAAGGGGCGGCACTGTGCGGGGGAGAGCCCATTCCATACTATTCCGGATACGGGGACGGTAAGTGCGGGAGAGGAGCCCCAACATACTATTCCGGATCACGGGGGCGGCACCTGTGCTGGGGAGGAGCCCCCCCTTACTATAGTCCAGATTTTACGGGGACGGCACTGCTCATATATGTACCACGGTGCCCCCCACTTACTATTCCGGATACGGGGGGCGGCACACACTGTGGGGGAGTTCCTAAAGCCCCCACAATACTATCGACCCGGATACGGGGGACGGCACAGTGCTGGGGAGGAGAAGCCCCACCATTCTATTCCGGATCTACGGGGACGGCACCTGTGCGGGGGAGGAGCCCCACCTTACTATGCCCCAGATACGGGGACGGGCACAGTGCTGGGAGGAGCCCCAACTTACTATCCGGATACGGGGACGGCACCGTGCAGGGGGAGGAGGGTCCCCACACCTCTACTATTCTGTTTACGGGGACGGCACTGTGGGGGAGGAGCCCCACCAACAGTTATTCCGGATACGGGGGACGGCACTGTGCGCGGGGAGGATAGCCACCTATGTGGGGACATTCCGGACGGGGACGGCACAGTGCTGGGGGGAGGAGCCCCCACCTTACTATTCCGTATACGGGGATGGCACTGTGCTGGGGAGGAGCCCCAACATCTATTCCGGATACGGGGACGGCACTGTGCGGGGGAGGATTCCCCCACCATACTATTCCGTGTACGGGGATGGCACTGTGCGGGGGAGGAGCCCCAACAATAACTATTCCGGATACGGGGTGGCCTTCCTCCCTCAGTCTCTTCTGATCTGTACAGAACAGAGAACAGGCTGGCAGGTCCGTATATAGGATGTTATAGAGAGTAAAGATCCCACCAATCACTAGAGGGTGTGGTCACCAGAGCAGGGGCGTGGTCTGAATAGGACACCCCCTACATCCCCAGTGATCTCTCTATGTGACCCCGATCATATATGTACACTAGAGGTGTCACTCATAGGCTGGCTATGCGGAGGGCGGGGCACCTTTCCCCCTCCAATCACCGCAATAGTAGGTACCCGGTTAAAGAAGATCGGCGCTCGCTTTGATTGGACTGTCCGGCATTCCATCTAAATACTCCGCCTAGAAGGCGGCACTCTGGTGTGTGATTGGCTGCAGAAGCTGTCACTTAGAGCCCCGGCTCCTCTATGTCCTCTATTGGTGGATATTTTTCGAGCAATCGGAGCTCGCGTCCTCCATTGGGAAGCCCATTGATTGGCGGGTCAAAGGCGGATGGGCGGAGTCAGCATATGTTGCTATGCGAGCGGGGCTGCCGGGCGGAATAAGATGGCGGCGCTGGAGCCGGAGAGCCGGGAAAGAGGGTCCCGATTCACCCATTGTGACCGCATCAGGAGAGGGGAACACCGGCCTGTGGAGAAGGAGGGGAGGTCCGGTGAGTGGGGGCGGAAACACGGGGGCCCGGACGGAGGAATCCCGGGCGAGGTCCACGCCCATTCCTCTACTCACAGAACACACCCACTGACAGATACCACACCCCCTCCAGCTAGTTCGGCACTTCCGCTAACTGGAGCCCACGCCCGGTCCCAAATCCTCTATAGCCCTCACTAGAGACCACGCCTACCACTCCAAAATGCCACCTAACGAAGACCAACGCCTTCTAGCCCATATGCCACATCCCCCACTGACGCCACTCACTCTCCAGGAGGAAAGGTAACACCCCTTTGCTCTAGTACACATCCGAGGCCACACCCTACCTGAGACCACTCCCACCATGAGATGTCTCCTGATACGGCAGTTGGTTGCATGTCCTATCACTACATGCGTCATACGTGTACTATGTTGCATTTGTGTTCTAGTAGACGGAGGTCCTCTCTATAAATCTATCCGAAGGGAAGCAGAAGGACTGTCCCGACATGTTGAGGATGGCTAAATGACGTGTTAGATGGGGCCACCTAGTGGAGGAAGGAGGTCCCAGTCTGTTAGTCCTCTATTGGAGAGATATCAGCGCCATCTTCAGCATGACTGCGGTATGGGCGGGCTTTCATTTGATTTGAACCCCATACATGCTGCAATGTCTGCGGTGGGGCCATGAACTCTCCACATAGATCCTCACACTAAAAACCCAAGGAGCTGGGTCACCCATCAGTCCCGACTCCTGACCCCACGAGCAACCCCATCAACTCAAGAACTGTCATTTTTACCCACAAGCCCCTCCCCCTCCGTCCTTGAATGCCACCTTATAATCTGCGGTCCCGATTCTGCTATACATCACTAGAGGGGTCACCGGCAGGAGGAAGGAGGTCCTGAATTCCTCTATATAGATCCTATCACTAGAGGGGTCACCGGCAGGAGGAAGGAGGTCCTGATTCCTCTATATAGATCCTATCACTAGGGGGTCACCCGGCAGGAGGAAGGAGGTCCTGATTCCTCTATATAGATCCACTATCACTAGAGGGGTCACCGGCAGGAGGAAGGAGGTCCGATTCCTCTATATAGATCCTATCACTAGAGGGGTCACCGGGCAGGAGGAAGGAGGTCCTGATTCCTCTATATAGATCCTATCACTAGAGGGGTCACCGGCAGGAGGAAGGAGGTCCTGATTCCTCTATATAGATCCTATCACTAGAGGGGTCACCGGCAGGAGGAAGGAGGAGGTCCTGATTCCTCTATATAGATCCTATCACTAGAGGGGTCACTCACCGGCAGGAGGAAGGAGGTCCTGATTCCTCTATATAGATCTATCACTAGAGGGGTCACCGGCAGGAGGAAGGAGGTCCTGATTCCTCTATATAGATCTATATATCACTAGAGGGGTCACCGGCAGGAGGAAGGAGGTCCCGATTCCTCTATATAGATCCTATCACTAGAGGGGTCACCGGCAGGAGGAAGGAGGTCCTGATTCCTCTATATAGATCTATCACTAGAGGGGTCACCGGCAGGAGGAAGGAGGTCCTGATTCCTCTATATAGATCTATCACTAGAGGGGTCACCGGCAGGAGGAAGGAGGTCCTGATTCCTCTATATAGATCCTATCACTAGAGGGGTCACCGGCAGGAGGAAGGAGGTCCCGATTCCTCTATATAGATCTATCACTAGAGGGTCACCGGCAGGAGGAAGAGGTCCCGATTCCTCTATATAGATCCCACACTAGAGGGGTCACCGGCAGGAGGAAGGAGGTCCTGATTCCTCTATATAGATCTATCACTAGAGGGGTCACCGGCAGGAGGAAGGAGGTCCCGATTCCTCTATATAGATCCTATCACTAGAGGGGTCACCGGCAGGAGGAAGGAGGTCCTGATTCCTCTATATAGATCCTATCACTAGAGGGGTCACCGGCAGGAGGAAGGAGGTCCTGATTCCTCTATATAGATCCTATCACTAGAGGGGTCACCGGCAGGAGGAAGGAGGTCCCGATTCCTCTATATAGATCCTGTCACTAGAGGGGTCACCGGCAGGAGGAAGGAGGTCCCGATTTCCTCTATATAGATCCTGTCACTAGAGGGGTCACCGGCGGGAGGAAGGAGGTCCTGATTCCTCTATATAGATCCTATCACTAGAGGGGTCACCGGCAGGAGGAAGGAGGTCCTGATTCCTCTATATAGATCTATCACTAGAGGGGTCACCGGCAGGAGGAAGGAGGTCCCGATTCCTCTATATAGATCCTGTCACTAGAGGGGTCACCGGCAGGAGGAAGGAGGTCCCGATTCCTCTATATAGATCCTATCACTAGAGGGGTCACCGGGGGGAGGAAGGAGGTCCCGATTCCTCTATATAGATCCTATCACTAGAGGGGTCACCGGGGGGAGGAAGGAGGTCCCGATTCCTCTGTATAGATCCTATCACTAGAGGGGTCACCGGCGGGAGGAAGGGAGGTCCCGATTCCTCTGTATAGATCCTATCACTAGAGGGGTCACCGGCGGCGGGAGGAAGGAGGTCCCGATTCCTCTATATAGATCTATCACTAGAGGGGTCACCGGCAGGAGGGAGGAGGTCCTGATTCCTCTATACAGATCCTATCACTAGAGGGGTCACCGGCAGGAGGAAGGAGGTCCTGATTCCTCCATATAGATCCTATCACTAGAGGGGTCACCGGCAGGAGGAAGGAGGTCCGATTCCTCTATACAGATCCTATCACTAGAGGGGTCACCGGCAGGAGGAAGGAGGTCCTGATTCCTCTATATAGATCCTATCACTAGAGGGGTCACCGGCAGGAGGAAGGAGGTCCTGATTCCTCTATATAGATCCTATCACTAGAGGGGTCACCGGCAGGAGGAAGGAGGTCCTGATTCCTCTATATAGATCCTATCACTAGAGGGGTCACCGGCAGGAGGAAGGAGGTCCTGATTCCTCTATATAGATCCTATCACTAGAGGGGTCACCGGCAGGAGGAAGGAGGTCCTGATTCCTCTATATAGATCTATCACTAGAGGGGTCACCGGCAGGAGGAAGGAGGTCCTGATTCCTCTATATAGATCCTATCACTAGAGGGGTCCCCGGGGGGGAGGAAGGAGGTCCTGATTCCTCTATATAGATCCTATCACTAGAGGGGTCACCGGCAGAGGAAGGAGGTCCCGATTCCTCTATATAGATCCTATCACTAGAGGGGTCACCGGCAGGAGGAAGGAGGTCCTGATTCCTCTATATAGATCCTATCACTAGAGGGGTCACCGGCAGGAGGAAGGAGGTCCTGATTCCTCTATATAGATCTATCACTAGAGGGGTCACCGGCAGGAGGAAGGAGGTCCCGATTCCTCTATATAGATCTATCACTAGAGGGGTCACCGGCAGGAGGAAGGAGGTCCTGATTCCTCTATATAGATCCTATCACTAGAGGGGTCACCGGCAGGAGGAAGGAGTCCCGATTCCTCTATATAGATCTAATATCACTAGAGGGGTCACCGGCAGGAGGAAGGAGGTCCTGATTCCTCTATATAGATCCTATCACTAGAGGGGTCACGGCAGGAGGAAGGAGGTCCTGATTCCTCTATATAGATCCTATCACTAGAGGGGTCACCGGCAGGAGGAAGGAGGTCCTGATTCCTCTATATAGATCCTGTCACTAGAGGGGTCACCGGCAGGAGGAAGAAGGTCCTGATTCCTCTATATAGATCCTATCACTAGAGGGGCACCGGCAGGAGGAAGGAGGTCCTGATTCCTCTATATAGATCTATCACTAGAGGGGTCACCGGCAGGAGGAAGGAGGTCCTGATTCCTCTATATAGATCCTATCACTAGAGGGGTCACCGGCAGGAGGAAGGAGGTCCTGATTCCTCTATATAGATCTATCACTAGAGGGGTCACCGGCAGGAGGAAGGAGGTCCCGATTCCTCTATATAGATCTATCACTAGAGGGGTCACCGGCAGGAGGAAGGAGGTCCTGATTCCTTATATAGATCCTATCACTAGAGGGGTCACCGGCAGGAGGAAGGAGGTCCTGATTCCTCTATATAGATCCTATCACTAGAGGGGTCACCGCAGGAGAGGAAGGAGGTCCTGATTCCTCTATATAGATCTATCACTAGAGGGGTCCCCGGCAGGAGGAAGGAGGTCCTGATTCCTCTATATAGATCCTATCACTAGAGGGGTCACCGGCAGGAGGAAGGAGGTCCTGATTCCTTCTATATAGATCTATCACTAGAGGGGTCACCGGCAGGAGGAAGGAGGTCCTGATTCCTCTATATAGATCCTATCACTAGAGGGGTCACCGGCAGGAGGAAGGAGGTCCCGATTCCTCTATATAGATCCTATCACTAGAGGGGTCACGGGGGGGAGGAAGGAGGGTCCTGATTCCTCTATATAGATCCTATCACTAGAGGGGTCACCGGCAGGAGGAAGGGTCCTGATTCCTCTATATAGATCTATCACTAGAGGGGTCACCGGCGAGGAGGAAGGAGGTCCTGATTCCTCTATATAGATCCTATCACTAGAGGGGTCACCGGCAGGAGGAAGGAGGTCCCGATTCCTCTATACAGATCCTGTCACTAGAGGGGTCACCGGCAGGAGGAAGGAGGTCCTGATTCCTCTATATAGATCTATATATCACTAGAGGGGTCACCGGCAGGAGGAAGGAGGTCCTTTTCCTCTATATAGATCCTATCACTAGAGGGGTCACCGGCAGGAGGAGGAAGGAGGTCCTGATTCCCCTATATAGATCTATCACTAGAGGGGTCACCGGCAGGAGGAAGGAGGTCCTGATTCCTCTATATAGATCTTTATAGATCACTAGAGGGGTCACCGGCAGGAGGAAGGAGGTCCGGATTCCTCTATATAGATCCTATCACTAGAGGGGTCACCGGCAGGAGGAAGGAGGTCCTGATTCCTCTATATAGATCCTATCACTAGAGGGGTCACCGGCAGGAGGAAGGAGGTCCTGATTCCTCTATATAGATCTATATCACTAGAGGGGTCACCGGCAGGAGGAAGGAGGTCCGA